TTCTAAAGGAAGTGGTTCATGTACAAGATCTTCTATAAACAAGATGTCAAAAGATGGGTCTCAAAGATTCATTCCCAAATCTGAAGGAAGGAAGTGTTATGCATGTTCAGGGTATGGACATGAAGCCAAAGAGTGTGCAAACACTATCTCTAAACAAAAAGAGGAGAAGAAAGCCCTGAAAGCCTCTTATAATTCTTGGAGTGATAGTAAGTCAGATATGTCCGAGGCTGAGGAGGAAGAGATTGCTTTTGTTGCCCTTGAAAACAATGATGAATCCGATGATTCAGATGAGGAGGACGTAGATATTGAAGAAACTAGAGAAAGGTACACGGAATTGTATCTTAACTTTGACAAAGTGAAGAAACAAAATGATGGACTGAAGATCAAAGTGCAAAAAAAAGAGGATGAGTGGCAGAGGACTGAAACATCTCTTCGATCCCAAGTCAACAACTTACTTGCTGAGAGAGACTTGTTGAAGGAAAAGCTTAACGAAGCTGAGGAGAAACTGCAGACATTGATTATAGGAGCTGAAAAACTTGACAGAATGATTGAAATGGGTAAACCAAATGGTGACAAAACAGGTATAGGCTTTAAACCCTCCTCTTCAACTAATTCTGTGACTAAATTTGTTAAACCTATTATTAATTCTAACAGTGTTGCTTCTGATATTGCCTCTAAAAATATGAATGCAATTGTTTTACATGATAATGTTATGACTAGTTTTATGCCAAAAAGGTTTAATCAAGTGTGTCATGGTTGTGGTGAAACAGGTCATATTAGGCCAAGATGTCAAAATAGAGTTAAAAAGTTTAACAAGTTTACTGCATAAAATCTTCAAAATCAAATTTCAAAGTTAGCAAAATAAGTTAGCTGATTGTCAACTTTAATGCAATCTGGAACAATGAAGCAGAAATGGATATGGAAGAAAAAGGAACAAGCTGGATCAAGAAAAGAAAAAGTTCAAGAGAACTTGCTATGTTCCTTAGCTATCACTTCTGACATAGATGAGACTAATGTTGTTTGTATGGTTGCATTTACAGCTCTGAGTGCTTGTCTCAAAGACAAATGGTACTTTGATAGTGGTTGTTCTAGACATATGATAGGTGACAAAAATTGGTTTGAATCTTTCGTCGATATGAAGGTAAGTGGGTCTGTAACTTTTGGTGACGATAAGAAAGCCTGCATTTTAGGTAAAGGTACTGTCAAGATTGTTGGCTTACCTCCCTTAAATGATGTTATACTTGTTTATGGACTAACTACCAATCTGTTGAGTATTAGTCTGTTATGTGATGAGTTTGGAGAAGTTAAATTCAACACCGAAAATTGCATAGTTAGTGATCTAAGTGGCAAACAAGTTATATGTGCACCAATATCAAAAGAGAATTGTTATTGCACTAGCACTGACAATTTAAATTTGTGTTTCAGGGCAGCGGATGATCAAGTAGAGTTATGGCACAAAAGATTAGGACATGTGAATTATCTAGATTTGCTCAAGTTATCAAAGAAGTCTTACGTTCGTGGACTACCATCACTAAGTGGAAAGCCTGAAGGAGTGTGTGGAGGATGTCAAATTGGAAAGCAAACTAGGACAGCTCATGATGCAACTAAGTTCATTGGAACCCAATGTAAGTCATCTTCGAATCTTTGGTAGTATTTGCTACATCTATAAGGATAGAGATTTGGTGGGAAAGTTTAATGCCCGGTACTTTTCTTGGGTACTCCTTAAATTCTAGAGCTTATAGAGTTTACAATCATTGAACCAAAATTGTCATGGAATCGATAAATGTTGTTATTGATGATTGTAAGACATATGAACCTTTTGATGAGTATATTGATATTATAGTGCCACAAAGTTTATCTAACGTGAAGGAAGTTTCTACAACCGATCACAGTGACATTAACATTCAAGACCACATTGCCACAACCATTGAGACTAGCAATACAAGTTCACAAGTTCAACGTCCAGGAGCAAAACATGTTCAACGAGATCATCAGGTCACAAATATTATTGGTGATCCCAATGCTCAAAGAATGACTTGAAGTCAAAAGGCTAAACTTATAGAAGAGATAAGCTATTTATGCTATGTATCTCATCTCGAACCAAAAAATGTCAAAGAGGCTGTTGTGGACAATGAATGGATCTTAGCTATGCAAGAGGAGCTCAATCAATTCACTAGAAATGATGTTTGGTATCTTGTTCCGAGACCAACTAACACCAATGTTATTGGTACAAAATGGATCTTCAGAAACAAGACAGATGAGAAGGGAAATGTTGTGAGAAATAAGGCAAGACTAGTTGCTCAAGGATATATTCAAGTTGAAGGCATTGATTGCGATGAAACATTTGCTCCAGTTGCTCGCTTGGAATCCGCTAGATTGTTGCTGGCTATTGCTTGTCATCTAAAGTTCAAGTTGTATTAAATGGATGTCAAAAATGCATTTCTAAATGGCTTGCTTAAGGAAGAGGTGTATGTTGAACAACCTATAGGATTTAAAGACCCTTTTCATCCTGATCATGTGTATCGGCTTAGAAAGGCTTTGTATGGCTTAAAACAAGCTCCACGAGCGTGGTATGAGAGATTATCCTCTCATTTGTTGCTGAAAGGTTACACCAGGGGCACAATTGACAAAACCTTGTTTGTCAAAAGGGTTTATCATGATCTAATGGTTGCACAAATATATGTGGATGATATTGTTTTTGGTTCAACTTCAAATACCTTATTTTCTGAATTTACTGACGTCATGCAAAATGAATTTGAAATGAGTATGAGTGGTGAACTAACTTACATCCTTGGATTACAGGTACAACAATTAAAAGATGGGATGTTTCTATCTCAAACTAAGTATGCGAAGGACTTGGTTTCAAAGTTTGGATTGGAAAGTGCAAAGCCAGTCACAAATCTCATGAGCACCACCACCAAGCTTCATATAGATCTAACTGGAAAGATGTTGACCAGACACTTTACAGGAGCATGATAAGGAGTTTACTCTACTTAATTGCTAGTAGACCTGAGTTATCGTTTTCTATTTGTGTTTGTGCACGATTTCAATCTTGTCCAAAAGAATCTCATTTACTCACTATTAAAAGAATCATTAGATATGTAAGTGGTACTCTCCAATATGGAATTTATACTCTCCAATATGGAATTTATTACTTATCTGATTCCAACATTGAAATTGAAGGTTATTTAGATGTAGATTGGGCTGAAAATATTGATAATCGAAAAAGCACATCCGGTGGCTGTTTTTATCTTGGAAATAATATGGTTCCATGGCACAGTAAGAGACAAAACTGTGTATCACTTTCCACAGCTTAAGCTGAGTACATTGCAGTCGGGAGTTGTTGTACTCAAGTTCTGTGGATGAAGCAAATGTTGTGTGGTTATGGCTTTAATCAAGGTAAGCTGCTCATTTTCTGTGATAATCAAAGTGCCATAAATATTTCTCAGGATCCTGTTAAGCATTCCCAAACCAAGCATATTGATATCCGACATCATGTTATTCGTGACGTTGGTTGAAGATGGGGTTCTTCGACTTGCTTATGTGAATAGTGACAATCAACTTACTGATATTTTTACAAAACCCTTAGATACTACTAGATTTGAACACCTCCGAAAGTTCATTGGCATTTGTACTATCTTTTGAATAGCTAGGCTACCGTCTCAAATGCATCTCATTGTGTAACACATTGCATTTTATTTTTTTTTTCATTTTTTTTTAATCTTCAATTTTTTTTTTCTATATATTTTGCTTTTGTTTTGATTGGTGTTCTTTACGGCTTGTTGGGAAATGAGCTAAACTCTCTTGAAATTGCTTCGTGGTTACTTGATCTTAGATTGACATCTCTCTTCCCAAAGTGTTTTACAACTGTGCATAATATTGAGATTGAACCTTTGGGATCAGTGGTTAAAATGGTCCTTTTGTTGAGTGCTTAGACTAACAACCCATAAAAATTCTTCTTGCACTCTGTCAATATTCTTGGTGTGTGCCCACTCTGTCAATATTCTTGGTGTGTGCCCTTGTGCAAAATTCAGTTGAGACCAAGTGAGCCACACATTGTCTTCATTAGGCCATGCTTCTATGACACTTGGACCGACTTTGTGTGTGTGTAATTATAGTTTTAAAAAAAACAAAAAAACAAAACAAAACCAAAACAAAAAACAATTAAGGGGCAGAATTTTTCAAGATGACATGATGTGGAAAAAGTTACCTGTAATTCCTATTGCATGGCATATTGAAAATCTTTACACATCTCACACTTGTTGGGAACTTAAAGCCAGTGGGTTAGAGTGTATAGCTACCATTGAAAGAAGGTGTCCATTGTCCCCCTGTTCGAAACTTGAATTTATGCAGGTCAACTATTCTGGAAGCAAGGCTACATGATCACACATTGTGGGTTTTCATTAGTCAAAAGCACAGTATTCTTCACAGGTGTAATCTCCTTTGTGCTGACTCACACTATACACATTTTTTATCTTCTTAATTGAATCTAAGCACTTTGCTCTCTATCTTGGCCATCTCAACTCTTGTTCCATGTCTTTTTAATCTCTTTATTATTTGTGGTTTATACACATCCATGTTGAGTATGTCTGAAATGCTATGCTTGTATCACACCACATAACTTGTTGCGACACTCTACTTGTTTCCCCCGTCAAATCTGTTTTGCTTGTGTCTTGCTACCCTATTTATCTGTTCAGCATTCATTCTTCTGGTTCATCTATTGCATGTGTTTGTTTGGGTATGAACGCTTTTCATGATTCTTGTGCAAGTGTGCAGAATTGTCCAGATACAGGTGATGGTCATCCATCTTTGGCTTTCCTTTCCAAAAAAGGGGAGATTAGTGCAAACCCTACGTTAATTGGTCACTCTGCTGTGATTAAGGGGAGTCTTGTTATGCTATGATTACGGAGGAGCCTTGGTTCTGCATAAGTGGTTATATTTAGGGGGAGTACTTGTGGTTGTGATACTCTAACAACTATATGTTATCTAATTTACTTGTGCAGAGTCGAATCCTTGATCAAGTTGAGATTGAGTGATTTTTTTTCTCTCCTTGTGTTGGGGTTTTGTCTAGGAAATGCCAAAGGGGGGGATTGTAAATGTGAATTTACTTAGGAATTGGTTTAATTTCCTAGACTTGTAATTGTGTCCTTGTTGTGTAGATTAGGCCTAGTTTTTAGGCAAATTAACTTGGGCCACAAGACTTATCCAGATTGAGCAGATCAAGGGTTGACTATGTCTACAAGGTAATTTGCATTTGCATATCATATTAGGAAAACTATATTTTTGTAATTTAGTTTTATTAGGAATGAAATTCACAATAAAATCAATCAGCAAAATTGTTTTCCTCTTTTTTCACGTTAAAACCAATTCTACTTTTTCCAACTCTTTTTGGAACGTGATTTCTGTTGATATAAAACAAAGCTTGAAGACCTTTGTTACTCACTCCTGCAAAAACTGATTTCAGAGATTTATATAGAGAGAAGCAAAGGTGAGTTCATGAAAAATTAGAATGATAAAGCAACTTGTGAAGCTTTTTAATTCTAGTTTGCATCTTCATATTTCATATTTCATATTGGAAGCTGTGTGCAATGGAAGCTGTGTGTGGGCATGCTTGTTCGTGAGGATCATCAATTCGAGAGAGTTCAAGCAAGGACTGAGTAAGGCAAGACAAAAGTATTGGATAGATTCTTGTTTAGAGTTTATCTTCTTGAGTCTTGTAATAGTCCATTCTTAGTGGATTTCTAGAGTTTTTCTTGGTTGGGTTTTTTCATCGTACCATTGGGTACAAAAATCCTTGTGTTAATTTACTTCTGCTGCAAGATTTTATTAGTTAGATTTGGGATTGACATTCTTGTCCAATGCTATTCCGGTTATCTATTTACTCTACCTGAGGCACGATTTCAGCCTCCCAATCCAATTTGAAGAAGCCGTGCAAGGTGATATCATTGATATGCAGCAAATCTCAATATGCAAGATGCCCCATCTCAAATCCTAATATGAAATTCAACGGAGATGGAGTCCTTGTTTTTGCTTTAAAATTTGAATTTCAGCAATTTTAGGTCTGGTTCCTTTTCTCTCTTTTTTTATTTATTTAAATGATAAGTTTTTATTATTTTTTTATTCACACCTTGGCCAATATCAAAACCATTATTGTTGTTTTCTTTTTGTAGAGAACTCCAAGTCTTTTATAAAAACTGATTCATCGATCAAGTCTTGTGTCAAGGAAGAAAATATTGTATCGATCAAGCTTCTAAAGTGTGTTCGAATGTACTTCATAGTTAATCTAAATATAAAATAAAATAAAAAGATGAAACATGTTGCGCTTTTTTTTTTTCGTCATCAACCGTGCCAGTTTCACTTTCGGCGTATAAATGAAATTGTCATTGTTTAAATTATAAGGCTATTTGGTTGTCAATTTTTTTTATAAAGCTTTTAGCCTTTCAAAATTGCACCTCTGCCGAAAAATTCTTGGGTCCATTAGTCCCAGTAAAGGAAGAGAAAGAAGACCAAGTATGTGCGGAAAAAAAGGGATGAGAGGGAGTAAATGCGGGCTCCAACTAATACAGAAAAACTTGTATGAAATGGGGTTAATATTGTTTTGCTATCCCAATCAATCACAAACTGCCACGTAAAAATGTTATCACGCTTGACATGTCGTGATTGGCCGGAAATAGCAAATAAGTATTATCCTCGTTTCACACATGTGTTTCTCCAGCTAGTGGGTGTTGCTTGCGGATGCAAGCGCACCACCTCTCTTCTTCCAACGGATGACTGTGATCTTCTTAGTTTGAAATTCACCGGCTGTTACAAGAAAGGAAAAAAAAAAAAAACTAAAATTCAAATAAAAAGACCTAAAAATTTCGTAAAAAAAATTCTCTATATATACCCAACTAAAATAAATCAACAAAACTTGTTTAATCCTATGTTATTGCAATTAATTTTTTTTTTTTTGGGTTCCATTTATTTGGAAAAATAAAATAAAATAAATAATAATAATTTAAAAAGTTAATACAAAATAAAAATTAACTCAAAAATGAATTAATACAAGAAAATCAAATTTACGTCTTTGGATTTACATTTTCACCATCAAAGCAAAAACATTATTTACATCAACTGCAAATGTAAAAGTGACTTTACACTCCCGAATTTATACCTCCCCATCGTGAATGTTCTTATTTAGATTGTATTTTCATTTGTATAGGTTAAATATCCTTGATCTATGTAAATTTTAAGTTTTTTTTTTTTAAAAAAAAAAAGATTTGTATTGAGTTTTAGTAGGCTGACGCTCCAATGAAAAAGAGTATTAACTTGAATATGAGAAGTCTCAAATTCAAACCCCCATAATATGATAATTGTGTGTATATGAGAAATCTTTCTCCCTCCCCTCTAGTTGGACTATCAATTATACTCAAAAACAAAACAAAAAGGCTAACGCATGCAAGCTGAAGCATTCAACGCAAGTCCCGAAGAGATGCTCTTGCTTTTTCCCACTCTCATAGAAAATAATAACAGAGGCTAGCAAAAGAAATGAATTTTGTTTTTGTCCCCGGTCATTAAAAATAGAACCCCTGAGTTCTCAGCCCAAACCCCCTCAATTCTCACAAATCACAAGCTCGGCAACTTTTAATTATAAGTTTTAAACAATCGAATCCAATCCTGTTGAAGAAAACCCAGGAAAAACCAATATGTCCGATAGTGAACAAAACGTCGCTGAGCTGGTGAACAGCGAACCCCACGATTTTCGCTTGCTGCTTTCTTCTTCCGGGAGGGACTTTCTTGTCCGCAACAATGGTGATCATGTATATTTTCACCTCTCAATATCTTTTTGTTTTAGATTATCTTATGCAGTCCCGTTGAGTTTGTGTCAAGTCACCCTTGGATCTAAGCTAAAGGTGTAAAAATCCATATAAATGTTTATATTATTTGAAGTTACCCAAAATATGTTTTCTGAAAATCCACACGTTCTTTCCTCTTTGTTCTGTCGCTCATGAAGCTTGTAGCTGCTGCCCACACCCTCCTCCATCCAAAAGTGTGACCAACCCATCATTGAACATCCATGATTGCTCAGAACTGAAGCCCGAATCCACGACACTTTCGCAGTCGAAGATCAACAATTCTTGATCTTGGGCAGTCTCTGAGGCCTTATCCTTCGTACCCAAATCGGTAAATTGATTGTTGAGTTCATTTTTTGATGATTGTCAGAAGAGAAAGATGTAAAATCATGAGGTTTGTTCCCATCGATGAAAACAGAGGACAATCAACCTTGAACACCGCTGCACGCCATTGCAATCAAACTCAGAAGAAAACTACAACAGTGGAAGAAAATATACTGTGGTTTACAATCTGTAACCGAAGAAAATAGTATCTGAAAACTAAAGATGAACATGTATGAGAGTTTCGTGGAGGTTAATAAAAAATTTATAAAAAAAGAGTATTGAAGCGGATGTTCAATGATGGGTTCGTCACTGTTTTCAGAATCGGTGACGCTAGGTTGTGTAATTGAAGCCACACCTCCCTCCACTGCAATGGAGAATCGGAGGAGGAGGCAGAGCGGCTACAAGCTTCTTGAGCGACAGAGAAGGAAAGAACGTGTTTTGCGCTGCTTCAATTTTTTTTTCCAGAAAACGTAGGGTAAGTTAAAATAATATAAATCTTTATATGGATTTTTAAATCAGTTTTTTCTACAGATTTATATGGAAAATACGGGTCATGGGAAAATTTGTGATAATCGTGGAATTAGAGTCAATTTGAGGCCGTTGAATTGGGTCTGTCATCACACTGGTACGTAGATATATTTGCAAATAGAATTTAAGGTAATTTTCACTTTAATACAACCGAGTTTTAGAGTTTGATGCATTAATTTTTTTATCGGTTGTATACACAAAATTAATTTTTAACCACTTTTATACCTATTGTTAATCTAATTACTCCACTCTCTTTTAGATTCTTTTGTGAAAATAATGAAGGAGCATATAGTGTTGCTCGTTATGCATTATTTTTATCAAATCTATCTTTTTGGAATCTCCTGAGCATCCATAATCACACTCCCTATTTTTTAGCTAAAATTTAGCTAAAAATACAAAAAAAACTATTATAGGAGCTCTCTAAAAAATTCCAACTTTAACCATACTCTCAAATTTGGAGAGTCATAAATGCTTTACTTCTTTTTAAATTTAATTCCTGATTTGCAATAAAATATTCATATTCAAATACTAAATATTCCAAAATAATAAACTACAATGATATTGTAAGTTTATTTGTTGTTCCCATTATGAATGCTCTAATATCGTTGAAGATGTAACAGTCAACAATCTTATGTAATGGTGTTTTAAGGTCAATGTGAACACAAACATTACTATTCCGATGTTCACACTTGTGATAAATTATGACTTACAAGCTTAAATGCTTTGGACGGATTTTATATTTATTTGGGAAAATATGAATTGTAATTAAAAAACAAAAGGCAAGAATATAAAAAGAAAAAGAAAAAGAAAAGTTAATCTTTTGGTTTTAAAAAGGCTGATGTATACATGCAATGCATGCATCCAACGCAAGTCCTACGCGGACACTAGACGCGAAGTGAGGCTCTGATTCCTTTTCTTTTTCTTACTCTCCAATAAAATAATAATAATAATAATAATAATAGAGAGAGAGAGAGAGAGAGGAATACGAATTTTGTTTTTGTCTCATTATAAATAGAGCCCCTGAGTTCTCCACCCAACCCAAACCGCCTCATTTTCACATATCACAAGCTCTGCAACTTCTAAATTGTAACCAGTTCAATCCAATCCAATCCTGTTAAAGAAAATCCAGGAATAGCCAATATGTCCGATGATGAACAAAACGTTGCTGAGTTGGTCAACAGCGAACCCCACGACTTTCGCTCGCTGCTTTCTTCTTCCCAGAGGGACTTTGTTGTCCGCAACAATGGTGATCAGGTATATTTTCACCTCTCAATATATGATTGTTTTAGATTATCTTATGTTCATTTCTTTTCAGGAAAATATGGGTCTGGGGACAATTTGTGATAATAGTGGAATTAGAGTCAATTTTGGGTCTTTAAATTTTGTCTGTCATATCGTATCGTATCGACGTACCCTTATCCATATCCATGCAACATAGGTCATCACACTAGTAGATAGACGAATTCGCAAATAGAAAATAAATGGAGGTTGAGTGTTTGAGTGGCATAAGAAAAACCAAGTTACTATCTTCAATTGCTCTGTTTGCAAGGTTTTGTATTTGGTTAGGCAAGTTCATATCAGGTGTGGGTGAATTGTATTTTAGCATTTGTTTGTGTAATCTATTCGGATATCTGTACAGTGTATTAATTTGAATCATGGTTTAGTTTAAAAGAGTGATTAGGAAAGTTCACAGAAATAGTGTAAAAGCATATTGATTATTAAGATGTAAAGGGTTTGGATCTAACATAGGCATTGGTAATCATATCTTAGCAATGGCAGATCCACAGAGGAGCAAGGGTTTGTAAAATATCGTGGACAATTGCAGTTTATAATGTGGTTCTTTCTATTAATTATGAATTATAATATTATGGTTTCAATTTTATGGGTGTATTTTGTATAGAATTTTTTTTAAAACCTTTTACACGTTGACCCCCAAGAGGAAAATTCCTGGATTCGTCACTGTATCTTTGGATCTTGTGGGGATAATATAAGACAGTAATCATTTGTTAAATTCTTGATTTACAGACTAAAGTTGAAAGCTTAGAGGGGAAAAAGCTTGGGTTGTACTTTTCTGCATCATGGTGTGGTCCATGTCAACGGTTCACCCCAGCTTTTGTGGAGGCCTACAATGAACTTTCTTCAAAAGGTGATTTTGAGGTTGT